TGAGCCGCGGAAGTCTCCAGAACGAGCGTTTTGTACGAGACTTCCTTAAAAAGTGAGCCGCGGAAGTCTCGGGAATCCCATTAGGATGTCTTGGGTTTCAACTAGGGCTTCGCTTCTTTAGGGTTGCTGGCTGGTTTGCCATAGGACTTTGCTGTTTTAGGATGTCTTTGGTTGTGACTTAGAGCTTTACTTCTTGAGGGTCTCTTTTGGCCTGCCTTATCGCTTCACTTCTTTAGGATGTCTTTGCCCCAAATTCAACAGCATCTCTTGCTCAACATTTTGTGTTTTGTGCACATGGTCGTGATAATGATGTGCTTTGGCGAAGCTGGGTTTGGTTTTGCTCAGGGCTTTGCTCTTTTAGGGTTTTGTTTGGTTTGCCTTAGGGGCTTGCTTCTTTTAGGGCTTCACTTCTTTAGTCTTTTGTCTTTTGCTTCAGGCTTCACTCCTTTAGGGTTTCATGTGGTTGGGCTTCCGGCTTTGCGTCTCTAGGATGTCTTTGGGTCGAATGAGCCTTTACTTCTTTGGGGTCTCTCTTGGTTTTGCTTCAGGCCTCGCTCCTTTAGGGTTTCTTTGGTCTTAGCTTAGGGCTTCACTTCTTGAGGATGTCTTTGGATTTGACTCAGGGCTTCACTTCTTGAAGATCTGTTTTTTTGCTTAGGGTTTCGATCCTTTAGGTTTTCTTTTGCTTCTTCAGGATGTCTTTGGTTTGGGTTTAGGCCTTCACGTGAGGGCTCCTTTGGGATGTCTTGGGTTTCACTTAGGGCTTCACTTCTTCAGGGGGTTGGTTTGCCTTAGGGCTTTGCTCTTTAGGATGTCTTTCGTTTTCACTTAGGGCTTCACTTCTTTAGGATGTCTGTGGGTTTGAATCAAGGCTTCACTTCTTTAGGGTTTGGTTTGGTTTTGCTTAGGGTTTCGCTCCTCTAAGGCAACGGTTTCTTTTGGCCTGGCGTAGGGCCTTGCCTCTTTAGGACGTCTGTGGGTTAGACTTCGGCCTTCACCACCACCCCCTCAAAACAAGAACGCTTCTCAGAAACCAGTCCCCAGAAACCACTTCCCAGAAACCACTTCCCACAAATCACTTCTCAAAAACCACTGCCCAGAAACCACTTCCCAGAAACCACACCACTTCCCAGCAACCACTTCCCAGAAACCACACCACTTCCCAGCAAAAACTTCCCAGAAACCACCCCCCGAAACCACTCCCCAGAAACCACTTCCCAGAAACCACTTCCCGGAACCACTTCCCGGAAACCACTTCCCGGAAACCACTTCCCAGAACCCACTTGCCAGAAACCACTTCCCAGAAACCACTTCCCAGAAACCACTACTTCCCAGAAACCACTTCCCAGAAACCACACCACTTCCCAGAAACCACTTCCCAGAAACCAGCCCCCAGAAACCACTTCCCAGAAACCAGCCCCCAGAAACCACTCCCCAGAAACCACTTCCCAGAAACCACTTCCCAGAAACCAGCCCCCACCAGTTCCCAGAAACCAGCCCCCAGAAACCACTCCCCAGAAACCACTTCCCAGAAACCACTTCCCAGAAACCACTTCCCAGAAACCAGACCAGCCCCCAGAAACCACTCCCCAGAAACCACTTCCCAGAAACCACTTCCCAGAAACCACTTCCCAGAAACCACTTTGTAGGTTCCAAAACGAGACGAATCTAGGTTCCAAAACGAGACGAATCCAGGTTCCAAAACGAGGCGTCGGCCATTTTGCGACAAGACGATGGGTTCAAGGGACTGGGGAAGGAGCAAAAGAGTTGAGGGGCAAGAAGGGGGACCAGAGGACCAGGGACCGAGTGCACCACACGAATAGGGTAGGACTAGGGAACAAGGGGAACAAGCAAAGGCCGAAATTAGGGACCCGGGACTAGGGCAACAGAATATGTGGTTCATTCATGTTTTGATGCTGTCAATACTTCCAGATTCTGATGCCAAAGCACCACACAAGCTTTCTCTCCTGCAGTTGACGCTGTAGAAGCTCAACATTGACAGAGCGGACCACACCCGCGTACATGTAGTCTAAGCCATCACCTTTGGCCCGTCCACTGTCCGATCTCACCACCTCACCTCACCTGTAGAAATGTTTACAAGTGCAAAACAGCAGAATCTTTTTGGATCAATAGGGCTGCAGCGCAGCCGAATGAATTCTGTGGCAGTTGAAATGGACCACCAACCTCCAAACTTTGTTTGCAGTCAGGTGCACAAAACGAGAAGTGTACTTGAAACCACTCAGGTGAAACTCGCCATTCGATAAACATCGTTTGGCTCAAGGCTGCGCGGAGAAAAGGATCCGTGCAGCACCACACGACACACCCAACCTTCCCTAGGTTATGAGCCCAAAGACGGGCTGGTAGAGGTAGAAGTCCACCTCACTTTTTTGTGGGTCGTTGGTCCCCATGGAACAACATCGACGACGCAAACAGCGCTCCCGTGAAAGGAAGGAGGAAGCTGCTGCCAAGGATGCTGCTGCCAAGGATGCTTCAGCTGCCTCCAGGGAACCCTCGACGAAGCCCCTGGAGATTGGTGCCGCTGACCGGAGGCTGGACGCTTTGATCGAGGAAGAAATTCGATCGAGGGCTCGTTCTGTGCCAGCTTCGTCAACGACCGCCGAAGTGAAGCGTTTGGGGAGCTCTATGGCTGCTTCGTTGGGGCCTCAAGGACCTCCGGTGACCTACCATCCACCACACCCTGCACAAGAACAAGTACACCAACTGGTGATGGATCCTAGGGGACAGTCGATGGGTTTGGGGCATCTCCAAGAAGCGGTGCGCCACTCGTTTGAAGTTCTGCAGAACGCACTACGAGGACCTCAACAACAGGGTCCAACTCTACTTGATCCACTCCTTCGCCAAGCTGATCAGGGAGTCCCTCATGCGCACGATCATGGAGGTCCTCCAGGGCATGCATTGGCGGCTGGAACCCCGGTCAGGGATGTGAGGTCCGATCGGGATGGATCTATGGTTTCTCCAATGGTGGGATCGGTGGGCCGCGAAGCTCTCCATCCAAGAACGCTGGATCCCTATGCGGCGGCAACTCCGGTGGGGCCTCTCGGCACGGTGAATCCTTTTTGGAGCACTTCACTTCAACAGGCTGCAAAAGGTGAAGGGCATGTACGTATGGCTGAAAGCAGTGGAAAGAAACCTGCGCCTTCCAGTCCCGGAGCTGGCGATGTGGAGAAGATCCGAGCTCAGATCTTGCGGGAGGCGGAGGATAAGTTCGCTCGTGAAGTCAAGAGGTTGACTGATGGTGGAGCACCTGGTGATGCTTCGTCCTATGCCTCGGCCGCGAGCGCTGGTATTGGTGATGGAGGCCGTGCTCTACCTGAACCTCCTGGACTACCTCCTGGTGATCCTGTGGGCGCGGGAGTTCCGCCATGCACCAAACCTGACCTTCCTCCAGGACTTCATGCTGGACGACCTCAAGGTGACTCTACTCAGTCTCCGGTGATTCCGGAAACCGTGAGGAGCTTGGACCTTCCGAGCTTGCCTCATCCCTCAACTGAAGGAGCTGCACTTCAATATGGAGATTGGTTGACTATGACCTATCCGTTGATGGCAGACCTCTCGGCGACTTCTCAGTTGTGGTGGGATGGATGCTTGGCTGCAGCTGGTGAACTCTATGAGAAGTGGCTCACTGCTACTCCTTTGGAGCGCCTTCGCTTGCGCCCTGTGGAGAACATCGACCCTGTCCACCAACGTGTTGAACAGCGTGGTGTATCGCTCCTCCTGAGCATCTTGCCCGACCAGCTTCGAAGAGATGTGATCGCCAACAGGAAGGTCACAACGGTCAGCATCCTTTTTCGACTTCATGTCCTTTTCCAGCCTGGAGGAGGTGCCGAACGAACTACACTTTTGAAGTGTTTGACGGAAGTGAAAACATCCAACAACATCCAGGACCTTTTGGTGACTACAAGGACCTGGCGACGATGGCTCCAGCGAGCAGAAGAGCTTCGTTTGACCCTGCCTGACCCGTTGATTCTCATGCAGGTGTTGGGGCGCATCATGGACTCCCTGTCGAAATTGGGAGGAAGTCAAGTGGCCTACCGGGTGTCTTCGGTGAGGCAGGAATTGCTGGTGGATCTGAGGCCCGAACTTCAGTCCATCAAAGATCTCAGTGAATACTTGCAGGCGGAGATGGAGGACCTGTCGCTTATGGTGGTGGCCCCAAAGACATCGGCTACAACATCATCGACTCCGTCTAGCCAGACCGCTGCACCTGTTGTGAAAGCAATGCACTCAAGCCAAGGCCAAGATGAGAAGCCGAGGTCGCCGTGCAGATTTTGGGGCTCTCAGTCTGGGTGTCGGAGGGGGGACACGTGTGGCTATGCGCACTCCTGGGATGGATTGGATCGTCAGCAAAGATGTTTCTTCTGTTCAGGAGAAGGTCACATGATGAAAGATTGTCCTCACCGTCAACAGAGGGGCACCAAGGATTTCAAAAAGAATGCCAAGGTGAAAGGCGTTGGTGAGGAGGTGTCGAAGGACAGTCCTACCAAGGAAACACAATACAGAAATTCTGAGGCTTCGGGAACTACATCGTCTCCGAGTTCATCGCTCTGGTCATCGCCAACGGTGTCTGGAGGTGGATCGGGAAAGAACGGTGGTGGGTCGCCGGAGAAGGAGTTGGGGGGTGACCAAAAGTCAAAGGTTGACTCCGCTTCTGTCCTCCTTGATGAAGCAACAACTCTCCTCAAGACGCTCAGGACCCTGAAAGCGGTTCGCCTGAAACAGGTCTTCGTGGAGCCCGTGAACACAAGTCTTCAAGGTTTTGCACTCCTTGACGGAGGGGCAACACATGCCCTCCGAACTGCACACCCTGATGAAAGGAGCGAGATGACTCCCATCGAGGTTGAACTTGCTACAGGTACTACAGTTTTGTATCGCCATCCAAAGCACCGCACCCTTTTGTCCTTGGAGGAGGTGGAGCCGATCATCCCATTGGGGCTTCTGGTTGAACGGGGCTACAAGGTGGAGTGGCGAAAGACGGGTTGCAGTATCCGTCACCCAACACTCGGTGCGATCGACTGCTGGCTTCGATCTGGCTGCCCGATTATGCATCGCCAACCTGCTTTGGACATGCTCTCCCAGATCGAGCTCGAGGATCGGGGGGAGGTGGCACTTTCTGAGGAGGACCGGCAGTGGTGGCAGAAGCATTTTCCTGAACTACCACATCCTGTTCTTCAACACATGGCTGGACAGAGCCAAGATCCAACTACAACGCCCTGGAACCGGAGAATTCTCAGGGCACACCTCACTGGAAAGGGGGTCATTGTACACCTATTCAGTGGTCCTGATGTGAAGAAGTGGAATCGTGTTGGCGGAGGAGCATACTCTTGCATTGACACGGAGATCAACTCCTCGTTGAACCTGCACAACCCGGCCGTTTGGGGCTATTTGTGGAAGCTGGCGTCTTTGGGACGCATCGTTGCAATTGTTGGAGGTCCTCCCTGCAGGACCGTGAGTCGCCTTCGAAACCGGTCACCACCAGGACCTCGTCGCCTTCGTGGTCGAGGAGAAGATCGCTGGTGCCTCAATGACCTCTCGGAGGAGGAACTTCGCCTGGTTCATGGCGATACAGCTTTGTGCATGAAGCACATGGGTCTATGGATCCGAGCTCAAGAATGCCGCAGAACATCGACGAATGTTGGCATGCTGTTGGAATCACCGCGAGATCCTGCTGAATATCTTGCTGGTGAAGAAGGTGGGCAAAGCGCTTCTTTCTGGTGCTTCCCGGAGCTGGTGGCTTGGGTTGGAACTGCTGGCCTTCGCTTGGTCACTTTCGATCAAGGAAAGCTGGGTCACCAGAGGAAAAAACCTACGACAGTTTTGACTAACCTTCCTGCCTTCCAAGAACTACATGGCCTCCAAGGCGATGGTTGTGATGACAGACCACTCCCGTCGAACCTCGGTGACCGCATTCGCACTTCGAAGACCTGGGCAGCATGGGCACCAGGCCTTGTGGGAGCGATTCAAGAAGCTTTGAGGAGGTTGCTTGGCGTTTTGGAGGAGGAAAAGGGGGCTGGAGGTGGTCACCATGTCTCCAAAATGGACCTCGCAGCTTGGCATCGACATATCAAACAGGGTCACATCCCCTTTCGTGCTGACTGCCGCATTTGTGGGGAAGCTATGGGCTGCGACAAACCACACAAGAGGCTTGGGGGGAGCGCCGCGAAGTTCACTATGTCAGCCGACCTTTGTGGACCGTTTCCTGAAGGGAAAGATTTGGGCACAGGAGTCATTTGCAAGTACGCACTGGTCTCAACTGTGGCCGTCCCCATCATATCTGAGCTTCCAGGTGAGGTTACTGAGCCATGCGACACCGCCAAGGATGTGGAGCACACGGAGGAGATTCCCTGCGAGCCAGAAGACCGTGACCTAGTCCCTGAAGATGAAGTCCGGAGGCTCAATGAAATGGCTGAGATTGAGAAGTCTCAAGAACCACAAGGACATCAAAATGTCACTCTGGCTGAAGTGATTCCTGATCGCACGGTGGAGTCACTGGTCCGTGCTTTGTCCCGCTTGCACGCAAAGTACCGCATGCTGGGCATCCAGGTCTACAGATTGCACACAGATCGTGAACGATCATTTGCTTCAGCACCAATTCAGAAGTGGTGTGAACAGCGACAGATTCGCTTGACTATGACGGCTGGCGATGATTCCAAGGCCAATGGCCGTGTTGAAGGAGAAGTGAACCAACTCAAGCGCCGAACCAGGTTGTTCCTTCATGATGCTGGACTACCTCACTCCTTCTGGCCAGTTGCCCTTCGCCATGCTGCCGAACAGCGTGTTCGACTACAACTTGAACGACTCGGGCTGGAAAGTCCTCCTATGCTTCGCTTCGGAGCATCAGTTTTGGTCAAATCCAAACGATGGCATCGCGCAGGTCAGCTCTCTATGCCATACCGAACTATGCAACTCCTTGGTCCCTGCCCATACATGTCGCATGGCTGGATCGTCCGGGACAAGAAGGGCCAATTGTTGCACGACGTGCGCACTGCACTTGAACCATCGCCGGTAGCCGATCAGGCGATCATGGAACTCCAAGAGGTGCCTGCCGTGAAGCATCGCATCACTGGAAAACACCCACCTCCACTACCTGACCATCCACTGGCTGGCCGCGTGGGAGCGCTCTATGAGGAGTCGGCTCCAGCTCTAGCAACTTGCAGAGCTGGGGGGGAGGACTCTTTGGATTCTTTGGACTGGTCTTCATCGTTGGATGTCGGCAAGCCGCTTTCACTGGGGCGTGAGCCAAAGGGGGAGTTGGAGGAGGTGAAGGGTGGCCACAAACTACATGATAAAGTTGAACCTGGTGATGAACTTTTGCACCATGACCGTTCAGGGGGAGGTCGAAGATTCACTGCTGTGTGATTGGCAGCAGGTGGAAAAGTGGCATGAGCTCGAACAACAACGACACTGGGCGCTCAAACAGCTTTGGTGTCAAGGCCTTCGTGAAGTTGCAGTTGGTGAGAACTCCGGCAGTGTCCATGGCAGCTGGCTTCATGAAGTTGAACTACTCCTCAAGGGTGCTGAAGATCAACTGTCGTTTCAGCACTCTGCAATCGAGAACTTCAAGCTGTCGGCATTGGCTCCATCAATGGGAACCCCAGATGCTCCAGCAACAGTGCTTCAGACCTATACGGTCTCACTACAGCAAGTTCGCAGGGAATTGGAAAAATGGAAACCTCCTCTGCGTGATGAATATGGACAGCTGGTGTCCTCAACTCAGGCAATCAAGCCTACTACAGAGGAAAAGTTGCGCCTGGATCCAAGATTTCCCACTATGGAGCTGGCTCCAGCGATGCTTGTTCCTACAGTCAAAAAGTCCTCATGGACGTCTTCGAGCTCGGGTGGTCATTTGTGGAAACCATCTCACCAAGGTCAATGAAGAGAGCAACAACTCTGCAGGTGAGACTCAGCCCAAGGACTCAAACCCGTTCTCGCTTTATGCAGGTGGAGCAGATGGAACTACGTTGCGCTGCTTGATGAAATGTGCGGCTGAAAACTCATGGTCAGTCGGCACGGTGGACGTCAAAACAGCCTTCCTTCTTGCACCACGACCGGATGAACAAGAACGTCTGCTCGTCGCTCGTCCACCAAAAGTGTTAATTGAAGCTGGAATTTGCGACGCTTCGGAACTTTGGGAGATCTCGCATGCCGTCTACGGGCTGAACGATGCTCCAGCAAACTGGTCGCAGTACCGTGACCGTGAACTACCTCAACTGCGCTTCTCGGCAGGAGGTCATGACTACCAGCTGGTGTCCACACCGGAGCCAAACCTTTGGAAGTTGATCAAAACTGACCCTGGTGCCCTTCTGTAGGAGGACAACTCTGAAGGCTTCCTCGCTGTGTACGTTGATGACATGCTTGTTGCTGCACCAGGTCCCTTGGCAAAGTCGGTGATCGATGGGATCAGGGCTCATTGGCGGTGTTCGGAACCAGAGTGGGCGACGGCAGAAAAGGCCATCAAGTTTTGTGGCTTTGAGATCAGATGCAGCGACGATGCGGTGATCCTCAACCAGGCCTCATACACTCGAGACCTTTTGTCTCGCCATGAAGGCATCAAACCACGTCAAACGCCTCTTCCTTTGGGAGTTCAAGATGAAGTTGAAGCTGATGTGCAAATCTCCCAAGTCCGACGAGCTCAAGCTTTGGTCGGAGAACTTCTTTGGTTGAGTGGCCGCACAAGACCAGATCTTTGCTACGGTGTCTCCATCATGGGACGTTTGGTGACGAAAGCACCGACCAAGGTTCTGGAGTGGGGTGCTCACATGTTGGGCTACTTGCAGCATACAGTGGACTATGAGCTTCGCTACACCAAGCAGGTGGTTGAGTCGTCCCTCGAAGATTGTGATGCTGCCAAAAAGCCCTGCTTGAAAGTGTATTCAGATGCTTCTCATGGACCCCAAGGAGGACGAGGACAGCAAGGTCTTTTGGTGACCTACAATGGCTCTCCAGTGCAGTGGGAGAGCAAACAACAACCATTTGCAACTCTTTCAAGCGCTGAGGCCGAGCTGATGGGCTACGTTGATGGAGTCGTCATCGGAGAGTCAGTCGCCTCAGTGGTCAATGGGCTGGAGGACAATCGTCTTCATCTCCAAGGCCAGCAGGTCCTTTGCGGTGATTCTCAAACCGGCTTGAAGATTTTGGTCGCCCCGGATGGACCTTGGAGAACAAGACACCTTCGCTTGAGGGCGTTCGTTGTGAAGGAACGCATTCAGCAGAGTTGCTGGAAAACCCAACATGTTCCAGGAGCTGAACTTGCCTCAGACCTGCTCACCAAACCAATCGTCAACCCGACGCTGTGGCAGAACTTTTACACCTTCATTGGAGCTCGTGTGTTGTCCAAGGATGTTGACCGAGCCCCAGGTGCATCGCTGTCCAAGTCAAGGTTGATGGCTATTCTGGGCGGCATCATTGGCATGGCGGCATGGAACCCTTCGCAAGAAAGTCACAAGGTGGCGAGATGTGTCACTATCTCAGCTTTGGTAGCAGCACTTGCAATTTGGTGGAAAAAAGATACAAAAGACCCCACAAAGACCAATGGCACCTGACGGTCGATTCGCGGGCGGGGGCACCCATGGGAAGCGAATCGGTCGAAACAAGAAAGTCAAGATCGGTGAGGGAAAATGAACCCACCGCACGGGAGGGGTTGGGGGGGTTGGGACCTAGCCTAAATGGCTATACCTCGGCCGCGTCTCGTGCGTGCGATCATGGCGTGCGGCTGGCTGCTCTTGGGGCTCGCGCTGGGCCGGAGCAGCCGGAAGAGCGGATTTGGGAGTGGTTCCCATTCCAGCTCCCTCCGCAAGGCCGCGACCGCTGGGGGCGATTGCGCTATGGATGGTGGGTGAGGCATCATGTGAAGCCTCGAAAACGACCTTTCCACCCACTACACAGGATGACGCCCTTCAACAGTGCATCCATCCGACACCAAAGGGTGACTGTTGTTTGGCACCATGGAGAGAAAACCATCTTCTACGACGACTGGAGGAGTGGCATTGGCCCTGTCTTGCCTGACCAGGATCAATGGGTGGGATACACCTTTTTCCGGGAGATTCCGTCCCCAGACAACAGCCTGGGACAAACAACGACTTCCACTGATCCACCGACGAGCAGCTCAGGTCCACCTCCAGTTGATGACACGCTGGAACCACCCCAACGACGGGCGACTTTGGATTCGGTGGCAGAGAACTCCACTGGCACTCCATCGTCTGAACAGGTGGAATTTCCGACGGCCAATGTGACCTGGGTGAGAACTGAAGTGCATTCGGTGAGGAGGACTTCATCGTCATCGTCCTCTGCACCTTCACAGACCTCTCCCAGCACAAGGTCCAGTGCGACTGGATCTATGGCAGCGGCTCGGGGCTCAGACGCCATTGACGCTGGCGTGACCCTTGGCTACATGGGGCGACTTGGCGGCTTCCTCTCTCGCGGGGAGAACCTGCGATCTGGGCCGGCGTCGAGCGCCACAGAAAGTGAAAGTGAAAGGGAAGATTGGAGGAGGAATTTAGATGTGAGCTCAACCAGCTCAGTTCAGGGGCACGAAACGACACTACCTCCTGGACTTCCTCCTCTACATGAACACTTGGATGAGGTCCCACAATGGATGGGCATTGTGAGCCAACTCCCAGTGAGGCCGCGTGGTGTGCCGGGTCAAAGTGACCATTTGAGGGATCCTGATTCGGATTCAGATGGCAGCTATGAAGTTTGTGGTTGAAAAACCACTTGAAATGTGGTCGAAGGATCGCTTCCTTTTTTCCCTGAAGTTTGACCATGCGATGGTCAGGGGGAGTGTGGCAGTTGAAATGGACCACCAACCTCCAAACTTTGTTTGCAGTCAGGTGCACAAAACGAGAAGTGTACTTGAAACCACTCAGGTGAAACTCGCCATTCGATAAACATCGTTTGGCTCAAGGTTGCGCGGAGAAAAGGATCCGTGCAGCACCACACGACACACCCAACCTTCCCTAAATTCTAATCGAAGGTATTTCTCGTCATTCTCCATCTTCTGTCAACTTTGGTCTGCTTTGGCTCACAAGCACGTGTGTCATTCCTTTCCAATTTTGAGGGCTCCAAAGAGACACACAAACACAGAAGAAAACAACTGTGCTTCAGTTTCTTGTGCCAAGCTCACGGCGGACACCCATGGGAGAGGCCGTGAAGAAGTTTGTACTACTGATCTGAAGAAGAGAAGATGCACAAAATCTGCACAAAGTGGACATCTCGCTTCGATTTTTGTTCAAAGCACACCTTGCACGCCAAAATCTCAATCTTTGTCGATTCTGGCTTAAACACTGAGCAAAGGACAACAGAGACAGCTCCACGAACCTGACTCAGGGACAACTGCCGAGTCAACAGGCTTTCAGTGCTGACACAAGACTTTGACTAGGGCTCCAGCAGAAAACAGGCCTGCAGATGCTGATTGCCCCCCAATGGCGCCTTTGCTGGACCTCTCGTGTTCTTGAAGAGATATCTCCAGGCAAAAATGTGTGTATGTATATATATATATATATGGTGGTTCCCACTTCTCACGGGTCTGCTCGTCTCTGGAAGCTCGTCCAAATATAATATATATATATATATTGTAGTACATCTGACAAAGAGTGGTGTCTCCCACTAGGACTTGCCATTAAGCTTTTAATTACTCATCTCCACTTGACCCATTCACACCCTCTAACACACCAATTCTTTACTGTACTCTGCCGCATTTTGCAGAGTCTCAGAACCCTGTTGATTCAAGGTTCTCCCCCACTCTTGGCCATATGGAGCTTATAACCAGCTTCTCAACACCGTGAGTTTCTTCAATTTGCTCTTTCGTTTATCTCTTCAACTGGAGTCTGCACCGGGCTATCTGCTCATGCATATTATATATATATATATATGTCAGGTGTGTTTCCCTTCTACACTCTCTTCATGTGGTCTCCTCGTGACGTCTGTGATTTTGCAATATTATGATGTACGTTGCTTGCATTTCTGTCTACGACACTCAGGTGCCAATTCACTGAAGACTGAAGAGCAAGCTTTACAGTCCCTGTAAAAGAACTCCCGTGACTCAGGTCCAATCACAACAATCAACGTGCTTGTGAGGTTGCGGCAAATTGCGCTTCTCGAAGCCTGCAGTCACTGCACTTTCAACCTGCAGTCACCCCAAGCGTGCTCTTGAACTCCTCTTGATCAAGACGATTTACAGCAATTGTACATACATAAAGAAGGCTCCCTCTGCACCCAATCTCTCAGCCTCCCTCTACACCCTGCCTCCACTCTAGCAAACCCAGCTTCCTGCTTGGCGCAACGCATTGCCTCACAAGATAGCATCTATTGCAATCTGTTCAAACCAATATATACAAACCGATCAATGCTCAAGCAAAATGGCTTGCCTCCTCATCTATGACAATGCCAGCCAAGCGGTTGCCCACCTCTTGGAAAAGAGTCAAAGTGGGTCTTTGCACGCACGTCTCATGCAGTACGTCGCATGCTTCCGGCACAGCTAGGTCGGCTGAGTCAATGTTGATTGGGAGGCTGCACATGTTACTAGTAGCTTCTTGTTCCTAGTAGTGAGGTGAGGAGCCCCTACTAGTAGCTAGCGTCCTTGCTCCTAGTAGCGATGCCAGGAGCCCCGTTCGTAGCTTCTTGTTCATCGGCTTTGCTTTCGAATCTGTTCGACTCTTTTGGACTCTTCGCTTCCCATGCCCACATCGGCTGCCATTTGGCCTGTCACAGTTGAGAGGTACCAGTCACAACTAAACCCACGTGGGCGTGTGTCTGTGTTGCAATACAAACACCATAAGCAAATGTTTCCACCACGTCAATCTACCCTAGAACCGGGCAATCCTTGCTTGCGAACATGTCCAATCACACACGTCCGCCCCCATGCCGCCCCTTTGGCCTAAGGCCGGGAATGTACACACTCTGTAGCACAACACCATGCCGTTTGCTAGAGGAGCCTGGAAAAGGACAAAAATAAACAGAGAACACAAGACCGTACGACAAAAGACAGATCAAAACGCAAAAAGCACAGCAGAATGGTTGTGAAGTGGTGTGTGTGTGTGTGTCTGTGTGCGTGTGTTTGTGCGACAAATGATGTGTTTGCATGTACCCTCAGACCGGGCAGAAAGAACTAACTATATAGTGCTTTTGTTCTTGCTGCACAATGAAACCACAAAATGTGTCCGAGTGACTCTAGGGTACTCACATGGAAAGAGTGCACTCACACAGAACAGTCCACTTTTTTTCTATGAAGAGTCCCTCATACCAGGGAAGTCTTTCTTCCAGGTCAAGACATAATTCTGCTCGGACTTTGCAAGCATTGCAGTTCTGCAGTGCTCAGCTGGTGCCCTGCCTGGGAAACGGACGACTTGCGCTGGACCAGTGTCGCATATCAAGAGGTCAAGCCACTCTGAGCGTAAAAAGACTCAATGCAACTCAGTCGCTTCGACCACTGCCACGGCAATCTACCAACAGGCATCGTTGGCGCACTTGCCGGACATGCAGATCGCGGAGGGATCCGAAGAAGATTGCGCCGTGCATCTGGGGGGCCATACGTCTTCATCCCATTTGCATTTATAGCCTTGAGGGAGGGTTTGTCATGATTCAACTGTGAGACTGAAGGTTTATCGAAGTTCTGTAGGTACATGCTGCATGGGCAAAGTATCATCCAGCAAAGCCGGCACTGTTGCCACTATATAGATAGAACTCTTGAAAGACGGTGAAGACATTCACATCACTTGTGACATGCCGCTGACATCTGAGGTCAGGGCCAATGCCAGATTGCACATAGTACGTTCGTCCACACTTCTCTTCCAAGGAGACACCACAGAAGGGGACGTAGTCGAGGGTTGTGCAGTCAAGCTTTCCATCCTTCCGCTGCCACCGCCCCACCATGTCTTTCGTGACGCCAGGTGGCTTCACCTCAAAAAGTAAACAATGACTCAACAAAGTGCGGGAAGTTGACGAAAGCAAAAGCATTTCTTCAGCACCACCATTTCGCATATTCTAATTCTAATGATTCTAATCAACAACCCGGTGTCACTGCAACAACTCAAGTCGCCTCGAGCTTCACACCGCTTTGGGCAACAGAATCCTTCGCTCCAGCTACCCGGTAGCACAGTATGTAGTCGCCTGACATGGCCATACTATGGAGTAGAGTAGGGTAGCGATGCTGGGACAAACTCAAAAAACCCTTCGACTGACTGACTGCGAACACACAATCTGATGAAATGGTTTGGTTGGTACAGAAGGAATACACATCATGAATGACTGCGATCCAAGACCGCCATCGCCTGTGTTCGTAAGGGTAAACATCGCATGCCCAGCACCGACATCTTGCACCGGCGTGACCGCTGCGCAGTCGGAAGATGCGGAATGGACAAAGACCTGCGAAAGCGTCGGGAAGCGACCCCAACTGCGAAAGCGGTTTGGGTTCTCCCGGCCAACTTTCGAACAACACACCGCTGAAAGAAGCGTTGGTTCCGCCGAAAGGCCGCGACTTAAGACTTGCCCTCAAACCCGCGGAAACGCCACAGGTGCGAAAGGCTGCCGAGTCGCTGCCCTATCTCCTGGGCCAGACCCTGAAATGTCAATGACCGTGGCCACATTCACAGTCACAATGCGTGGCCAGATGCCCTCAAACAGCAAAATGCATGGGAAACACCTCGTAATCCAATGACAATCAGCTCTTTATATCAAAAAGTAATGACAAACATGTTTTCCCTGCACCCACAACACAACATGTTCCAGAACTGTACAAATCTGCCCGATCAGTGCAAAAGCTCTCTACATGCCAGCCAATTGCGACAAAACTTGCCACTGGCCAAGAGACTCTCACGGCATCCTGGCTTGTGGTGGTTGTATCCAAAACCTTGAGGGAACAGCACTTTCAAAAGTCAGATGCAAAGTTCGCAAAGGTCAACGCGGCACGCGGTGGATCGCCCGGCTTCGCCTGTATTTTGACGACTCCATCGGAAGCTTTCTGTTCCACGGAGTCACTGCCCTGCGGAGATTGGTAACATAGTTTGTAATCTCCTGACTTGCCTGGCAAGTTTTGCGCGCAAACAACGTAAAGCTCGTTGTCCATAATCATCATTACATTGGCTTCAGCAAACATCACTCAGTGACCTGTAGATGGTATTGTGAAGAGTCCTCTGCCGGCATCATCCAATACGACCTTCGGTGTAGCATCACTATAGGCCTCCAAGAGCAACAGGGAGATTTCAAAAGCATCTGCGGTGGCATGTGGCACACATGGACATACCTCTTGCCTGGTCTACAGGGATGAAAACGGCTTTGGCAGAGCTGGAAGCGCCCTTCAAAGTGATTGCGGTTGTCACACCTTTGGTAACTGAATTGCGACCTCAGGCTCCAGCAGCTTGGGCAAAAACAGGAATTGTTAAGTTCTCTGAGCTTGTCGCTGGCGGACTCAATCACCGAGTCAGAGGTTGCAGCTATCACATTCAGGGCGACGCCAGCCTCAACACGAAACAGCCGATAAAACAATGTAACATTCCAACAGAAGAAACTGATGATCCGGGTAGTGGTAGTGGTGGTGATGGTGGTGGTGGTGGTAGTAGTAGTAGTAGCCGCAGTAGCGGCATTCGCATCACAAAACAACCGAGACTGTGCGCGTGTCTCTCTCTCTCTCTCTCTCGGTGGTCACAAGCACACAGACCAACAAAAGCTTTTGTTCGAACCATGCCAAACTAGCATGGCAGAATCCTCAACAAGTTCATCTTCATCTTTCAATCTTACAATTGCTCGTGAAGATGTCGTCCATTTTTAGGGGGTAAGTACAATGATCAGGAAACTACGATGCAGAAACCAACCGGTTGTTTCCAACCATATGCTGTAAAAACCGACATATATAATCTTAAACCCTTTCTTGGCCATCACTCTATTCAGCCATATGCTGTAAATACAAACATATTCTTACTTGTAATGTAAAAGCCGTTTGCAACCACATCGAACGTCATTATCTTGGCCATGGTTCCCCCCCAACCCCACTCCACCCCACACTCCTCCTGCCATCCACTTTATTCAGCCATATGCTATAAATACAAACATATTCTTACTTACTTGAATGAATGTAAAAAACCCTTTGCATCCACATGGAACGTTATTATTTTGGCCATGGTTCCCCACCCCCACCCCCCCACCCCACACTCCTCCTGCCCTCCACCCCATTGCAACCATCGTCCGGCTTGGTTTCTGAATCGGCTGTTTTGGTTTCTGAATCGTAGTTGCTGAATCGCCTGGTTTGGTTTCTGAACCGGCCGACTTGGTTTCTGAATCGGCTCATTTGGTTCCTGAAGCGGACCATTTGGTTTCTGAATCGGACTGCCTTGGTTTCTGAATCGTAGTTGCTGAATCGTCCTTTTTGGTTTCTGAATCGTAGTTTCCTGATCGGTTGGTTTCTGAATCGGCAAATGTCCTCACGACGAACATACTCTGATACGCTGCTTTTCCAAAATATGCCGCCACCACCACCCAGAAAAAGAAAAGGCGACCTACCTTTTGTCTGTGCAACGCAGGAGTCTTCAATGAGCAACAAACCAAAAGGAAAGGACCCCAACGTCGTGTTTTGTTGCTTTTGTCTGTTGTATGTATGTTTAGAGCTGATGAGACCTAAACCACCCAAGAAAGCATCTATTTGTAGATGTAGCTTCCTGGCAAAAACAAGTGTGTTCGACAAAGAAAAGGCCAAAGGCATGACTGTAAATACCCGTAAATCAGGAGAAACAGGTAGGTTTTAGAGGGCGGTACCAAAAAGACTTACGTACATGCATACACAAATCTACACAGCCTACACTCCACACTCCAATGGTCTTAACAACCACTTTGTTTTAAGATTCATAGTCTGTGCAATCATTGGGCCGGCTGCCTGCTCCGCTATCGCACCGCCTTCTACCGACTTCACACAAAGTCGATATCCCTCGCCCTCCTGCGACTGGATTTGGATTTCAATTAAAGCAGTATGATGCGATTTACTCTTCCATTGAAGGCAATGCATTGTGGGTTACAAAAATGGCCACACTTGTAAGAAATAGCATTGCAATGTTGTATTGAAACATAGCCTTGCGCCATGTCCGCTTGCATGTACTGGCACCAAACGAGAAGTTGTTTGACCCACAACGCAACTAATGCAACGCAAGTAATGCAACCGACCGCCGTCCTTCTCAATGGCAACGGTTGCTTTACCTCCTTTTCCCACAACAACTGCACCAGCATCCTGGGGCTGCGCGCTTGGTGTGACGGAACGCAAAATGCAGAAAATATTGGTTGCGTTTCATTCACAACAACCACAACAACAACAACAACAACAACA